AATACATTCATTTATGTGCTAATACCCTAGGGAAAGGTATGAATCCTCTTCTTCTTCCTCCAGCTATGGGTATATAGTAGGACAGAATGGGTTCTATAACATGGGTGGCAACCAGTCTAGGAGAAGGTAACACTGAATTAAAAACTGGCCCAGAGAGGATTGGGCTCCATCAACCTATCACCATTTCTATTGCAAGTTTTAGTAAATTGTAAACTGGATTTACTTAGTAGGGAATATAAAACTATTTTCCACAACCAAGGTAAAATTTCAGATCTTGAATACTGAATTTTCAGATAGTCATACAAGGCTTACTTGCTTGGAGGAATAACAGAATATAATCTTCCTCCTCACATTTGATCTTGTGCCAGACTCAGCTTATCTGAATAAGTATGAACTCTGGTCAGCTATATTCATAATAATGCTATAAAATGCTTTAAATAATACATGATATTTTTAAATCCCTTATCCTGCTATTTTTCTAATTAATTACCTTAATGATGACAACCACCTGCTTTTCCTCAGGAAGACATGACATCAAGTTTGTTATTGATCAGTTGAGTAAAACATCCACTGATATCTCAGTGGGAATTCAGTGTTTAAATGCAGTTTACAACAAAATTATACTGATAACTTTATCATGTCATCTGCAATAAAAAAAAAAAACTCTAGTTAATCACAAAGAAGACAGTATTAAAATAACAATTTTATTATTGCTATTTAAGTTGCAAAATAGAGTTGCAAATGATTTGAACAGTGTTAATGATTGCAGTCAGCAGTGTATCAATGGTGCTAGTGAAATTCATGTGCAATTCAATTTGATGAGCTGTTTAACCCAGTATGAGTTAGTGAGAGTTCAAATGCAGGTCACTTAGCATATTTTTTTATACCATTGAAAAATAGAATTGTGATGATGTAAGTTGTTCACAGCAGAAATAGTTACTATTTATTAATTTAGCCTACTGTTTATTAATTTAGGCAAAATTGACTCTGGCAAGGTGAGACACAAAAAAAGCAGTTATATATATTTTCCTTCACTAGAGAATAAAGAAATTCTTTTAGGATCATGACTATGTCTCATGTGGAAAGTTCTGCCACAAATCTCTTCTGGTTAAGAGTAAACACTTGTATAATTCTAAAAAGAATTACATTTTAGATTTAGTTAGAAATGAACCACAGTGTTGTTTTATTGATTCAGTAAAAAAGATAATTTCATTGTGAAATAAATTTGATTTGGTTTGGCTGAGAATGCACTAATATAATTAAGTTAAATGCTTTTTGAGTTGCTTGCTTTTACCTGAATCTTAAAAAAACAGAGTCACAATAACACAATTTAAAACTTTAAACTCAAGAGCTTTACAATATAAGCAAATTCCTACATTTATTTTAAATAATATAAATTTAAATATCCCCTAGATTTTACTTTCAGTAAATTTAGTTCATTTGCAAAGAATCTTTGGATACAAATTGTTAATGCTAATGTTACTGTGGCCATTATTTTCAAACTTTACCAACAACAATGTTAAGGTCTGTAACATGTCAAATTTGACATCTGCTTATGAATAATATTTGTCAGACATTTCTGAACTAAATCACTTGTCACTGATTGTGAATTTGTTCAATCAGTCTGTTCCTTTTGGCTTGTAGAGAAGACATCTTCCTGTGGTGAGAAACACAGGGAGACAAAGTCAGTGCCGTGTCATCTAAAAGGACTGCAGGATAACTTGAAGAAATTTTCCTATTGTTTCACCAAAGATTCCAGGAAATGCACCGAAGAAACTTGGAGATATTTCAGTGCCATGTGGTGAAGTGCCTGATATAAGTAAAGAATGGAACTGAACATAATTCAAGATGTCAGTGGGGAGACTATACTAATGTTATATGCTTCAGGTACCATGATTTGGCTCCTAATTATTCTATAGGCTTATGGCCATCTCATGTTGAAGCAAGAGTTCTCATACACTCACCAGATTTAAGCAATGTTCAACCTGGTCAGTACCTAGATGGGTAACTGTTGCTGAATACCAGCTTGGACATGTGAGTGATATAATGGATAATGGCTTGGAATTGGAAATTGGAAAGCTAGGTTCACTATATTCACTTAGGAACAAATAGCCCTGGGGAAGGAATGAATCCACTTCTTCCCCCACTATGGATTAATCAGTAAATCATTATTATCTCCAAAAAAATTCTTACAATCTAAAAATATTTTCTGCCTTCAAATAACTTGCAAAAGCTGGTAAGTTGTAAAAAAACAAATCAATGAAACAAAAATATTCTAGAACATAGATGAGAAAATGTTTTTCCACTTTATTCATATAACCTTTAACATTTACATCACTGTGCTCTAGAAATTAAAAGAAAATCTGCTTTATTATTAGATATTTTCAACATCTGTCTATATTTCTGAGATGAGGTATTGTAACTATTTGTACTATCTACATTGTTCAGACTGTTGTTCTTATCTTTATTGTCCTATTCACAATGTTTCAGTCATTGTATGTTCAGGACTTCTTCAGGTGATATATATGCTGGAATTTCAATCCAAAACCTTTATTTTGTACACCGGGGTAGATTGTTCTCATTTCATGTGCCATGTCTTTTCTGGATATCTCAGTTTCAGTTATTTCCTTTTAGTAATTCAACTTGACAAGTTTTTTGTTCATCTCTGCTGTAGCCAGGTATTGAACTTGCAATTCTTTTAGGTCAAGTCACTGGATTAATTCAACCAATGATTTTTTCAGTTTGGTTGAAAATTCCAAAGTAGATCACCTGACTAAGGCCAGAGTGTACAATGGTCGAAACATTGTGAATATGACAATAACAATGAGGACAACAGTCTGAACAATATAAATAGTGTAAAAGAAGTCAAAAAACTAAGAAAATGGGATTAATACAATAAATAAGTTAAATTTTATGGATATTGAACTTTTTCTATCATGTTATTGCTGATTGGTGATTGATTTGTCTTTTTAGGATTTATGAATCCTTTGTTGGTTATTTTAAGTCAAAATCTATTTTACTGGATTACAAGAACAATTCTTTCTTTTTTGAGAATTAGACTGATTTTTCTCATATACAAATCCTCTTGCCTTGTTGAAGAGAGATAGATTCATACTGTTCCTAAGGGTATTTACATATAACTGAATGTAATGAACATGACTGGAATTTGAACTTGGCTCTCTAATTTCTTCTTCCAAGCCACTATCCATTGCACCAGCTTCACATCCACACTGATATTAAAAAAAAAAAACTTGCTCTATTTCTTTTTTAAATCTTTCAACTTTCAATTCCAACACACAATATTTTGTTTCTTTTCTCTCTTTCTTGATATAATTAGAGAAATTCAAATATTATATATACATGTCCACTAAATTTTAAGAATTGGTTTTCAGGAAACCAATCATTAGATTTATATATATTTTCTATACACTTACATATATTTTAGACATTTTTATATATTTCCCCCAGACTGAGTAATATGAGAGAGTACATATCTTGTAAAATATGCTAACAGCAACTATACTATTTCAATATTTACAGGCTATGTGCAGGTAGCGTAACAGTTACTGATGCAGAAAATGGAATTGGTGAGCCGAATATAAATTCCAGCTGAGTCTTTTGCATTCAATTTGCAATAATGCCCTGAGGAAATGCCTGAATCCATCTATTTCCTTCCAGTTATGGGCAAAATAGCAGGACAGACTAGTTTCTATAGCCTGAATTAGTGACCAGTCTAGAAGAAAGATAACTATGAAAAATAAATAAAAAAAACAACACTGCTATCTTTTCCAAGAACTGTCCTGGTCAAGACAAACTACATTCCTTAGTTCCATCAAATCTCACCTTCATAGGTAAGACCTGCCATGCCATGAATATTGTAGTGAACCACTCTCATTACCTTTGTATTCCATTGGTGAGAAGTAAGTTCCACTCAAACAGTTTCTTCCTACAAACCATTGTCTTGTGAAACCGGTTCTAGGAATATTCACCATAAATATTTTTGCCGTAGGAAAACTTAACTCAGGAATTTTCGACATAGAAAACTTTGGTGTAGAGGATTTTTATCATGAGACAATTTAGCTGCACATTTTTTTTTTAAATCTGCAAAGTACCTTGTTATCAAGTATATCTGACTCACACTATTCTTACTTCAAATTAAACATTTTAATATGTGAAGTTATACTAACATGCACCCAAATGTATGGAAACTAAATGTGTATTTGAAAAAGGAAGAGGCATTAGCAGAAAAGAAAAAGTGTGATTTAGATCAAGGAGATGCAGTACAAATGAAGAAAATATATATTGATATCAATGCAAGACTTCAGTAGAAAATGCTTCTTTACAGTCCAATGCAAAAAACATTATTTACATAGCATTGCTTGGAATTTGCACACATCTTAAATTATTTCGTTGTTCATTTGATATATTTTTAGTCTTTTATTTTTTAAATAAATGTTTACTTTTTAATTTCTTTACAGATGTTTGGCCCTGTAAAAAGATATCCATATATACTTGATAACAAGGTACTTTGCATATTAAATTGAACATTATTCCAAAAGGGATGTTCAAGATAAGGGTATCAAAAAAAAAATTGCAGTGAAATTATCTTACAGCAAATTTTCCTACAGCAAAAATTCCTGAGGCAAGTTTTCTTAAAGCAAAAATGTTTATGGCGATGTTCCGGATATGTGTGGAACCACCTCCCAAGATCACTACAATCTTAAACTGTTTAAGTCTAGGTTTAACCATTATTTTCCTCACATATCCCCATAAACTGTGGCTCTCTCAAGCCTTGTACAAGGTGAAAATCATTGTAAAAACAACAAAAAGCTCATGAAACTGCAAAGAGGGTAGAGTTATTACTGAAACAAATAACATTTACAGGCTGTTTGCATTTCTTAAACATCAAACCATGAAAATCACATATTTCCAAAACATTTAGAATTACTTTTATTCTAAATTTATATTTTAATAACAGCAAATAATCAAAGAGGATAGCCATGAAGAGAAGCAAAAAATATTTGTATTTATTACCATTTCTCTATTCCTCTCTCCTTCCTTCCATTTCTCTCTCTTCCTCCCTCCTTCCTTCTTTCTCCTTCTCACTGTCTATACTTCCTCTGTTCCTTTCACTTTTTGTTTCTTCCTCTTTCTTTTACTCTCACCTCCTCCTCTCTATCCCTATCTCCCTCTCTCGTTCTCTATCCCTCTCTCTCTTTTTCCATCTATCTTTCTCTTTATCTATCCCTCTCTCTCTATTCTTGTCTCTATATATATCTCCCCCTCTATCCTTTTATTTCATTCTTTCTGTGTCTGTTATCTCATCATAAAAAGTAATTGTCAAACGGGTATTTATTCAGATTGTGTTAATTACCATTTCTCTATCCCTCTCTCCTTCTTTCCATTTCTCTCTCTCTTCCTCCCCCTTCACTTCTGTCTCCTCCCCTCTTTCCATCCTTCCTCTTTTTCTTTCATTTTCTCTCTCTCTCTCTTCTCCTCTCTAACACCATCCTCCTCTCTACATCTTTCTCTTTATTACTCTCTCTTTTTCTATCCCTCTCTCTTTATCTACCTCCCATCTCTGTCTGTCTGTCTGTCTGTCTGTCTGATCTTCCTTCCTTCCTTCCTTCCTTCCTTCCTTCCTTCCTTCCTTCCTGTTATCTCATTAAATTTCTCGTCAGGTTTTATCATTAGATCTGTCCCTCATGTTTTTGTCTTTGCCTCTTTAAATTTTTTACGTGAATTCTAAATCAATGAAACGAACATTAGCTTAAATGTTCCTGTGTATAAGCGCCAAATTGTTTGTTGTCTGGAGATTGACTTTTATTGATATGAAATTGGGTAAACAGAGTTGTCAATGAGCTAAACAGACGTTCTCTATTCAATATAGATTATTCAATATCAAATCAATTACTTCCTGAAAATCTCTAAATCATTCCCATTTTCTTAAACCAGTGATAATTGTTATTGATGGAGAAAAATAAAATTACAATATGGGTCATTATTACTTGTTGATTAATATTTCTTTAAAGTTAATATTACTTGATTTTTATAGCAACATTCAGACTGCCATTCTGTGGCTGTTTTTCATCTTCTATGTGTTGTCTTTTTGTTCTTTTACAGCTTTAACTCCAAGTTTCCATCTTGTTTCAATCTTAAGATTGTCCTCATCTCTCCAAATTTATTATCCTTTGTACAAAGCCTGTTCCTTATTTATTCATTTTTACTTGTTGAGTGGAAAATATTCCACTCAATGTAGATAGTTACATTATGAGGTAGTTTGTATGGATAGAGGGAGAAGGAAATGGTGTATTCTATATTTTAACAGGTTAAGATTGTAGTGATCGAGGAAACATCCTTATGGGAGTCTGTTCCATAGGCAGGAAGAAGCTGTTTGAGTGGAACTTACTTACAATATTTACATTATTCAGACTATTGTCCTCATCTTTGTCGCCATATTTATTACATCTTCATTATGTTCCCTAGAAATCTCAACTGCCTCTTTCTGATTTTAGATATAACTGTCTTTTGTTTCCATTATCCTTAAAGCTTCCATGTTACTCACGTGTTCAGTTGATGGTATTCTCAACATCCTACTGTAGAACCTCATTTTAACTGCCTCAACAGATATTATATAATAGATTAGAACTCTTTCTTTTGTTTCTACCTAAATTTTCCTGTTCCTTAATACTTTGCTTTTGGAAGGTAATTCTTGCTATTCCAATGTGCCTTCAGATTTCACTGTTGCATTTTTAAAACCTCTGTTAAAATTGTTCCTAGATATTTTTGTTGGTTCTAATATTGATTGGGAATTACTATACTTGCCTCCTCCCCAAATTATAGCCCACAAATGCATGCTGGGATTTTTTCCTAGCCAATAAAATAGGCTGGTTCTCAGTTTCTGTTTGTCTTATCTTGAAGTCAGAACACTATGTTCACTTGTCCAAACTTGCTTTTGTATATCAACCCCAATTCTCAGTTTGTGAATCTTTTGCCTTATTACTGTTGCTTTGCCTTATTACTGTTAATTTGCCTTGCATATATTGTTTGCTTGCTTTATATTATTTTTTTGCCCTGTTCTTTTCTTTTTCTTGTTATTGCTTATTGCAAACTTTGTCAATTCTTTTTGATGAACAGTTGTGTTACTTATTTTACATTTAACTATGGTTATACACTCCACAATTTTAATTTTTGTACTTGATTGATTTCGATATCTCCATTAGGTAGTTCATATCTTGGTCTGTTCTTTTGGCTGTGATGTAATGGAATAACCTGTCACCCCCATTAGTGACTTCATTATAGGTAGTAACTAACTATAAGTATCTTTAAGTCGACAGACTACAGAGTCTAGCTAGGATTTGTTGAGTACGACTGAGACTTATGCAAGAACTACCAACCTTCCAATAGTAGCACTCACTATTAGATTGACTTGCAATGACCTTGTGCATAACTGTTACCTTTATTTTTATTGTACTGGTTTTTACAATAAAACTTTATTTATTTATCCACCATTTTTTTTAAGTATATATTCCTGTTAACATAGAATATAACAGGCTGACAACTATATATTTAAAATTTTTACAATTAATATTACTTTTCACATTCCTTTTTTTGTATAGGATTAGAGTTGCAGGATCAGGTAGAATAACCCTGCGCAACCATAGATCCCGAAGGAAACTTGAAGCACCCAAAATCAAGACCCCTATACCAAGTGCCTTGCCTGTGTTGCCTGAGCCAACAATTACAGATGTGTGTAAGCCACATCAATCTGCCAAAGAATTGGGAAATGGCGGCATTTACATTGCAAAGTGACCTGGCATCCCAGGGCCCTTACTCAGTCACCCCCATCAAGAACCAGGATCCCCAAGGCACTATCCCAACTACTCCCATACAATCAGCCAGGCAATAAAGAACTGATTCCTCCCCAACGGCCACTATGCTTCCGCAATGGGGAGAGGAGGGAAATGTAGAAGTCAAATGACTTACCTGCAAACATAGCTGCCTTCTTGTATCTCCTTGTAAAGGTAAGCCAGCTAAATCTACCACATTTATAGGAGAGTACTTAATGCAGCAGGTGGGTTGGTCCACTTTGCTGGAATGGACCTGCGCAACACATTTGCATGAGTAGACTCTATTCAACCATATATCTCTCCATTAAATGACTTCAGCTTGAAGCAACTATACCAGTCTACTTTTGTATCAGGCCAATTGCAAGCTAACCAATATTCTACACTTACTTCTGCAAGTTCCTGTAGTTTCCTTATTTTGTCTTTTATCAATCTAATGCTGTTGAGATTGTGTCAACCAATAATGAATTTTCATTGGATTTCTAATTGCCTTACTGTAAACATTAAATAAATCTCTTGAGAAGATATATCCTTGTCTTATGCACATTTCTATTTTTGTGTATATATTGAATCTATTTGATATCTGGATGCTGATTGATTGTTCCTAGTATAAGTTCTAGATACTTATAAATACCTTTCCTAAATAAATCAAGCTTTCCTCAAGCAGGTTTTTGCGTTGTACTTTATCAAAGACTTTTACACAATCTGTAAAACATAGAAAAAATCCTTCTGAATTTGTATTGCATTTTCTGATATACTAGTCTTTTTCTGGAATTTCTTTCAAATAAAAGCTTTTAATCTGATATTCAGTTTCAAAACTTTATCAGCAAGCTCTAATGAGTTAAACATCATTCAGTTTTTTTTTTAAAGAAAACAAAAAATCTTTTGTGCCAGCATTTATTAAAGAACAATTTGCCATTCTGAGTACAAGATAGTATGATTGATTCTCAGAATTAGTCTTTTGTCAAGATATCTTTTGATGCCAACCAAAATGGTCTCTTAATGAATGATCAAACCCATCATATTTTGTGAAAAATTGACCTTGGGTTCACCATTCCTATCGAGATGGCTTAATTGCCAGCAGACTTCACAGATTAATTCCACAAGGAATTAAATTATGATTCTCAGCATTTTTTCTTCTTTTAACCAAAATAAGATGGAGCAATGAAATGTGCCAAACCATCCATGTAGAAATTGCAGTATTTGATGAAGACTAAAGATAGAGGAGTTTAATCAAAGCATGGCAGCTTGCTTAAATCACTTGATTCATGCCTGTTCATTCTATAGCAAAAAAAAAAGAAATATGTAACTTGAACATTTTATCTAACAAAACAAAAACACTGAAAATGACAATAACAGATGAGACTTTTTAAATTAAATTAAATATAAATGTGCTATTTCATATCAACCAAGTTATGGTATATATATATCACTTTCAGTATTCACAAATACTGAAAGTGATATATGTACCATAACTTGGTTGATATGAAATAGCACATTTATATTTAATTTAAAAAGTCTCATCTGTTTTTGTCATTTTCAGTGTTTTTGTGTTGAGATGAATTTCCTTTCTTGTCTTCAATTGGTACAAAGCAAAATAAATTCAATGTACAATTTACTATCACATGAACATGTCCACTGCAGATTCAGATGCAACACACAAAGTAATTCCATGCAATTCAATGACCATAAATAAATTTGGCTAGTAGACATAGCAAATGATTGAATAAAGTCACTCCAATGGAAAAATGTGAGCACAAGAAGGTGTGGAGCATTGTTCTCCTGGAGTTTAGCATCAGCCATGCTGATGGCAGGTAGAAAAGGTTCACTATGGTAATCAAATGCAGGCAGTTTTGTTTTTGAGGTGTTAAAATATACAAGCCATTTCTTGCCTGTTAATCACTGATTGGAGGTCCTTTTTGAGGGCAGTTGTCTGGTTTACTTTGTTGCTTTACTTTCCAACTTGCTACTAAGGCAGGAGTTGGGATCAGAAAAAGTGTAGGTCTAAGGAAAGAACCCGTGTGTTAGTAGGAAATGATCTGGAAGCATGCCCATTCAAAACAACCTTCATTACACTATTTCGTTGGAATGTCTGGATTAAGCCAAATACCATCCCATGATATGATAGCCCTTGAGCTTGCAGAGAAGGTCAGCAAGACAAATCCTGTTGAATGCCTTTGAGATATCTAGAGCCACAGTTCAAAGTTCATCATTCTTATATGAAGCTTGATACACAACTTCAATGATGACCATTAACATGTTGGTGGTAGATTTTGCAAAATGGAAGCCATATTGTTTGTCCAAAAGGAGGTTGTGCAAAGTAAGATGCTTAACTAATTTAGCATTTATTAGCACCTCAAGTACTTTACCAAACAGATGTAAGAGACTAATAGGGTGATAATTTGGATGAATGAACATAACAATTCAAGTAATGGTCATGGTGACAATATCAGTTTCTATGCAAGAAACTTTAAACATTCATTGACAAAACAGTTAGCATTATCATCAGTAGAAATTTATAAAAGCTTTCTCTTAAAAAATTTTTTTAAGGAAAATAGTCTTTTCAAGTTCATTGTAATTACTCTTTCTAGAATTGATGGGAGTTTCCTTCCTAAATTTTTGTTTAAGGTTTTGTAGAACATCTTGATTATATGATTTTCCACATTTAGTTACATGCGCTATCCATTTTAGTAGTTGCAACTTTTGAATGTTTTCAAGTTATGTAGTTTTTGCTATTTGGTACAGTTCTTTGTTTGCAATTCTGTCTCATGAAGGGATGTCTTCTTTAAAACGTGGAGCATTCAACTAAGATGTTATCTTAAATACTGAGAATTATTATTCTAATTATTATTTCTATATTTTTCAGACTATTGAACTCACAATCTGAGGTGTTCATATTTTT